ACGGCCTCTATGTAGCAGTAGACCATTTTGAATATCCCAGTTCCCCTTTTTTCCTTTGGATGACTGTATTTCCCCTATTATTTTTGTAGCATAGGTATCGCTGTGTAGCTCCTTCTGTAATACGGAAACATAGTGAGTTTGTGGTGTGGAGAGTGATGTGAGGTGCGCAGAGGGGGACCCAATATCCCCTGGTAGTTGTCGAGATAGGCCATCTGCGGCTGCATTAGTAATACCCGATTTAAAAGTGATCGTAAAATTATACCCCAGTAACTTTGCCAGGAATTGTTGCTGTTCTGGTGTCTGTATCACTTGATTCATCAGGTGGTGCAAGCTCTTATGGTCCGTTCGTATGACGAAACTGGATCCTAAGAGGTATTGACGCCATTTACTCACTGCCGACGTAATAGCATACATCTCCCTTATATAAGTTGATTGAGTTTGCATGCGTGGGGAGAGTTTCTTACTAAAATATGCGACTGCCTTTCCATCTTGGAGCAATATTTTAAAATCAGGCAGAATGAGAATCGGTGCTTCAGTAAGGCACTTTTTTAATTCTAGAAAGGCCTTGTTAGCTTCTTCTGTCCAATAAAATTTGCCCTTTGTGAGGAGATCAGTGATTGGAGAAGCTATTTTTGCATACCCTTTAATAAATTTGCGATAGTATCCTGAAAGCCCTAGGAATGCGCGTACCTGAGTGACCGTAGTGGGAGTGGGCCAATCTGAAACGGCGATGACCTTATCTGGGTCAGGTGCGACGCCTGCACTAGAGACAATGTGTCCCAAGAACTGAATAGAGGATGTTGCAAATGCACATTTGGAGAGTTTTGCATACAATTTGTGCTTCCTCAAAATTTCCAGGACTTGATGTAAATGATTGATGTGCGTTTGTAATGTGGGGCTGAACACTAAGATGTCATCAAAGAATATGACCACAAAACGTCGTAAGATTGGTGCAAAAACATCATTCATTGTTGCTTGAAAGGTGGAAGGAGCATTCGACAGCCCAAATGGAAGAACCATAAATTCAAAGTGGCCGTGGTGTGTCCGGAATGCTGTCTTATGAATATCCTCGGAGTGCATGCGAATTTGGTGATAACCTGATCGGAGATCAAGTTTTGAGAAAATTGTTGCCCCGTGAAGTTCGTCCAACAATTCATCCATGGTTGGTATAGGAAATTGATCTCTGACAGTGATTGCATTTAAGGCTCTGTAATCCACACAAAATCGCCAAGTACCGTCTTTCTTTTTCACTAATAGGACAGGAGAACTGAATGGGGATTGGCTAGGACGAATGATTCCTGCTGATAGCATTTCCTGACATAATTTTTCAATTTCGCTCTTTTGGAAATGTGGGTAGCGGTAGGGTCTAACTTGGATAGGTTTTGTGTTAGGGAGTAAATGGATATGGTGGTTATATGGACGGTGTGGTGGTAAGGTGTTGGGAATGGTAAACACATCATTGTAGGTGGAAAGTAATTTTTGGATGTCAGGGACAATATGGTGGTGTTCTGTGTCGTGTGTTTGTGGGGTGTTTGGTGGGGCAGAGTGAGAACTGTTGAAACACATGAGGCATGAAGTGTATGCATCAGTGACCATAAGTTTATTCAACTTTGCAGATGAGATAAGTATTGGGTGGTCAGGACGGTGTCCGTGAAGTTGAATGTTGGTGCCTTGATGGTCAAATGTCATGAGCAATTGGCTATAGTCGGTAAGAATTGGTCCCAAGGTGCTGAGCCATTGAACCCCTAGGACAATATCTGTACCCTTTAACTCCAAAGCGTATAACTCAACGGAAAATGAATGAGACTGCAGCATTAGAGGTACTTCCTTGCAATATGCCTGACATTGAAGCCCCTCACCATTGCCTACCTGCACAGTAAACGGCTCTAAAGACTGCAAAACCAATCCCAAATAAGTGGCCATTTTATGCGTGATAAAATTATGAGTGCTGCCTCCGTCAATTAGAACCTGAACTGGTTTGCCAAATATCGTTCCTGTTAAACGAAAAGATCGTGGAGAATAATGGCCAAATAAGGCGTTCAAACTGATCTCAGAAAAGGGATTAGAAATCTTATCTATAATTGGAGATTCTGTGTGTTCTTCAGAGTCGGCTGGGGGTGGTTCATCTTCGATGCCATCAAAATAGAGCAAGGTGGCTTTTCCTTTGCATTTATGGCCAAACACGTATTTTTCATCACAATTGTAGCAAAGCCCTTTTTCTCTTTTATGTTGCATTGCTTCTGGTGAAAGTCTTTTAATAGGAAGTGGGGATGTTATGGGTGAATGTTTGGTGGTGGTGGATGGATTGGCTGATGTATTTGGTGTGAACGGTGGACGTGGTGTCCACTGTCGTTGGGTTTTGTACCCTGTATTGGAGTCTGTGTGCTGGTCCTCATATATTTTTGCCAGTGAAAATGCAGCATGGATATCGTGAGAGCGTTGAATTAATACTTGGCTGCGAATGTTCGGTTTGAGACCAGCGACGAATAGTGCTCGTTTGAGTGTAGGAGAAAGGCCTGGGACCCTGCTGGCTATGACTTCAAAACTAGCTTGGAACTCACTAACCGTCGTTTGTTGTCGAAGGTTGGCAAGGCAGACTGCCGGATCTTCAAACTCCGATGGTCCAAAACGCCTTTGCGCCGCCACTACGAACGCGGCCCAATTGGGAATTAACCCATCATTAAAAAGTCCTTGGAACCAAGAATTTGCTGGTTTGTCAAGGTTGAAGGATGCAACTAACACGCGTTCTGCCTCGGGTATCTGATAGAATTCAAAATATCTATTGGCCTGAAAAATCCAATCAGTGGGATCGCCGTCTGCAAACCTCGGAAAAGTGATTTTCGTTGGTTGTGTACGATTAATGCCTGTGTGGTTTGGCTGAGATTTGTAGGGACTTGAGCCGAGAACCCCCGATCCGTTGGACTGATTTTCCAGAATTCGATTGATGTCCTGGCGGAGTATCGCAAAATGTTGATTCTGCTGGTTTTGCGATTGCTGCAATTGTGCTTGCGAGTCCTGTAATGCCAATTGTTGTTGTTCACGTACGAGTTCTGCTGCCTCGAGTTGTTTTTCCAGCGTTTCTATGCGCTGAGTCATTTCACGCATGCGTGTGTTCTCCGCCATGTGGGAGTGAGATCAGATGAAAGCACCAATTAAGGGAAACTTCTTAGGATTAAGTGAGAGGAGAGGAATTTAGGAAGAAGAATTGCGATCAAAATATTCCATGAATTTTATTGATCTTTCCAGGATTTTTATAATAAAATAAAATAACAACCTAATGGCTAAGGATGCCACTTACTAACTAATTACTGGAAATTAAAATAACAAATTGAAGATAAGGATATCTTAAGGGTTGATCCTATCTGCAACTAACTAACAAACTGATAATTGCATAATTATTAAATAAGAAAATAAAGACTCCTAGTTAATAAAGCTTAATCATAATCTTGAAGATGGGCTGGTGCTTTTGTCATTCGTTTGGGCCTCTCATTAACTGGGCTTGCTACAGTATTGCAAATGAAATGCGAATGAATGAATAGGATATTTCATAAATGATTGGCGAATAGTTTGCTGTAGTCTTATCTTTCAATTGTGATTAGTTCCATCCAAGACGTGCATGTTTGGAGTGTTTGAGATGACTCGAGTAGCAAGAAATGTTAACCAAACAGTGAAATACATTTTTTTTTTGTTTCCCAAGATATCCTTCGGCCGATAGTCAAAGACTAATTCTTTCGAAGCAGGAGATCACATTAAATGAGTAAACCTCTTCCAACAAAGCATTTTCCATACGTACGGCCAGGAATCGAACTCCTGTCAGCATGCTTAAAGAACCCAAGTGAAATATATTTTAGGTACTAAGAAATCAAGGTCGGAAAATGCATATGGATTATTACTTCTTCTTTTTTAAGATTATATCATCTCACATTTAGAACAGTGGGATAAAATTGGCTGCAATTAAATGGTAAGATTATAAAATATAAAATAATGTTTACCAATGTATTTATTTAGTATTACTCATCAATAATTACATCGGACCACAGAGTAATATATGGAACATAACTTCTTGTTCTTTTTTGTGGTAATTTATATGAGTAGGTCATATTTGTGTTGGGTCGAGGTTGGACATTTATATGAATACACTCAATATATGAAAATATTTTAACTTTATTTTCACGTGTTAAATTACATTTTTTATTACACGAAAAACTAATTATATTATGCTATCCATTTTATTTTACAACTTAATCCAATATTAATTATATTTTTATATTTGATGAATAATAGTTAATATCATTTATTACTTTTTAAGGTATGGAAATTTACTAATACATATAAATAGATACATAATTATATAAATTAAGCTAAAAACGTATAATGATCATAATTAAATATAAAAAAATTATTATAATTTAAAAATGCCACCGTTGCCTAAAAAATTTAAATTTAAGTTGATTCAGAAAAAAGGTAAAAAAATAGTTAGTATTTATAAATTTATTTAATTTAAATTATCTTTTCCGTAGTTTATGTTTTTATATCAAATTCCATAATTTTACCTATTTTTATTTTTATTTTTAAGGACTAATATAGTACAAATTAAAGATTAAAAATATAAAATCAATATTTATAAAAAAGGAAAAAGAAAATGTTAATAATTAAAAATAAGATTTAAATTTTAAATGGATAAAAATATAAAAACTGATTCTTTATTGATAAATATTAAATTTAAATGAATGAAAATTTATAAATTAAAAAAATAATAATGATATTATGAAAATTTACTTATTTATCAATAAAATCCAGCAAAAATTATTCGATGTAAAATTGAATATTTTAGAAAACATTTTTATATGTACACTTATCAGCTCATTTCCGTTATTCAAGTTTTTTCTTTTTTAAGTAAACTAACATCTTAGAGGGTGGCAAACTAATTATGAACGTATGGGGTGGCGATGATCGTGGCAGTGAAGATAACGGCGATGACAGGGCTTTTTGACCATTATAGCTTTTTTTTAATAATTAATTACCACCTTGACCATATTTATAAACTATTTTAAAAATTTAACCTCTCCAGAAAACATAACACCAATCTGCCCTTGTTTGACCGTTGACCATGAAACCTACCCGGGTACACCCCTACCTACCCGGGTATATTTTGAAATTTTTTACCTACCCGAATACACCCCTACCTACCCGGGTATATTTCTTGAATCTGAAAAAATATTTGAATTATTTACCCGGGTAAGAAAGGGTATACCCGGGTAAATAACCTGGCACTGTTTGTAAATAATCTGGCTTTCTGCAAAGGGTCTTTTCTTTTTGTAAATAACAAGGGCTGCCATGTGTTTAAATGACTAGATTGTCCATTCGCCACTGATGGACCTGCCATTGTTGAACCTGCTGTTAGTGGACCCGATGGCCTTGCTGAGTGAGAAAGGATATTTCATTAGAATCGGTTATCTTGGTGCTGTCATTGTAATTGCTGAATTATCTCTGCAGATTGAGGATTATATTGTCCTCATCTAGCTAGCCACTAATATCATTTGTTTTGGTGCATTTCTTATAACTGTGATCTGTTTGCTGTTGTTCATTTTATCTTGCTGAGATTCTGGTGCCAACAGCTACCCTATGTTGACCCTGATTATTTACCCGGGTACACCCCTTTCTACCCGGGTAAATAATTCAAATATTTTTCCAGATTCAAGAAATATACCCGGGTAGGGAGGGGTGTACCCGGGTAGGTAAAAAATTTCAAAATATACCCGGGTAGGTAGGGGTGTACCCGGGTAGGCTTCATGGTCAACGGTCAAACAGGGGCAGATTGGTGTTATGTTTTCTGGAGAGGTTAAATTTTTGAAATAGTTTATAAATAGGGTCAATTTGGTAATTAATTATTAAAAAAAGGCTATAGTGATCAAAAAGCCGCGATGACAGCAATAACAATGGAGTTGGGACAAAGTTTAATTTTAATAAAAGAAATATTTAATTTTTAACTTTTATTTTATTAAAAGTAAAAAGTTTTAACTTAAAAAATAAGAATTTAACCTCTTTTGTGATTTTTGAAAAAAAATTTCTTCCAAACGAACTGTTAGTCTTTAATCATAATTAGCGTGCCAAAGTAATCATTAACTCAAACTTGTTCCGTCTTTTATTTTACGTTTAAGAAGCATAGGGCACTTCACGTTGAAATTCAAGTTTGAAGCAGTGACGTAATCATGGCAACCTTGATGATCCTACGGACAGAAAATGTGTGTTCAGTGTACGACAACAAAAGATGAATTCCATCCATTGGGTGAGAAAAAAAGTAGGCCCCACGAGGGAAAAGAGTTTTTTTTTATCAAAAATATGGTGAAAAAATATATTTTTTGAAAATATTACGAAAAAAATTATTTGTTAAGCTAAAATATTTATGGAAATGTCGAGTCAATTTTATTAATATTATATTTAGTTCATTGTAAAATATGAATATGAATTTGAAATAATTTTACAAAACTAATCTTATCCAACTTTTTCAATTTAAAATTAAAATAAATTGTTTCATAATCAATGCAGAAGAATCAGTTCCGGCCGAGGCAAAAATGACAAAAAGTCCAAGGCAAAACAATATCTGATTTTGTATCCATTTCCATTCGACGCCAAAGGCTCGAAGACGACTACAGAAGTATATTAATAAAATGCTAAATCAACTCTTTTCACTGGCTTTTTTCAGCAAGTCCTTGAGAACTAAAGATCATATAAGGTCACAATTAGTGGATATATGGAGAAGCAGAAGCAAGAATAAAAAGAAAGTAATTTGTTGGGCAAGATGTGAACAGCCACCGCTTGAAACCCTTGTTCCAAATCAACTACCCAGAGTCTAGTGGCGGTGCCACGACATCCACCACTGAAATTCCACTATTGTTAGAAACGACACAAACCCATCCTCGTTTAGCAACCATTTTCTCAACACCATTAAGCCTCTCTGATACCATAACCTCCTCCCAAGCATCTCCTTCATTGATACAAATGGTTAAAGTAGTAAGTTGAGTCTGTTGAGTTACTTGGAGTTAATTGCTAAAGGGTCTGTCGAGTTAGTTCTTGATTGTTTAAGAGGTAAGAATAAGTGGACACGTGTCTTCCATATGTAGAAGATATGTTGTGTATAAAAGTGACTATAGCTTGTACCAAAAGGGAATGAATGAAGAATATCACTTTAGCTTTTCCCTAATAAAAGGAAAAGCTAATTAGGGAAAAGCTAAGTGATATTCTTCATTCATTCCCTTTTGGTACAAGCTATAGTCACTTTTATACACAATATATCTTTTGCAGAAGGAAGATACGTTGTCGCAACCGTATCGCGACGTGACGGCGAAAGAATATTGAATGGTTAAAACAATGGAGTCGCCACCAAGGTTTATTTAGGAAAACATTGGAAAAACCTTTTTTAAAGACAACTGGTCTTTGAAAACAAAAGAAATGGATTCGGGAGTCGATTACGAGTAGGGAAGGTATTAGCACCCTACACCGTCCGTTAAAAAACGGTTACCTTATATTAATTGTGCAAATTATTGATAAGATTTTAAATATTTATTTCACCCTAAGAAATTAAATAAAATTGACTGTTGGAAAAGAAAACAAACTTTGAAAATGTATTTTTGTGCTTGACGGGAAGAGTCCCGCTCCGACGTATCCCTCGGTACAATAGGGAACTCAAAGCTACGTCGTTCTGTAGAAAATATTTGTGTGTTTATTGATTTTAGTTTTTGAAAGTAATTTTAAAGAAAATTTATTGGAAGGTGGCTTGAAGGTTTCGAATTACCAAGCTGTCGTAGCTAAAATAATCTGAAACGATAATTGTAGGATTAACAAGCTGTCTCAACTCAGCTAATCCCTTTTTAATAAATTAAATTTCATGTTTATTATTTTCATTATTTTGAATTTTAAGATAATTTTGAATGAATTTTGAATCACCAAGCCGTCACGGCTAAAATGAGTCAAAATAAAATACACGGGGTTAACAAACCGTCACGGTTAAATTATCCCTTTGTTGAAAATCTTAATGTTTTAAGTTTCAATATCAAATTTTAGATAAATTTTGAATCACCAAGCCGTCACGACTAAAATGAATCAAAAGGGTTATGTAAGGT